CTAAATAACATGCATGTTGTCATAACACATGAACAGAGAAAGGCATGAATGGATTTGTGTCATATGAGTTATCCCATTAGTGGCAAATATTAAGCAAGTTAGGTCATATTTTGTCATCAGATACACCATTGTAAATCTGGAGTAATCTGGGCTACATGGGCTTTGAGTGGTTGATTGAAGTGTGAAGCAGGGGAGGCTTTGAGCGGGGGCAACTGCTTTGAGCCAGCAGCCTTATAAAAAGGCAGCCCGTGGTGAACCTACTGAGCAACGAACAGAGGAGACGTAAAAAGAGGGAGTTTGCCTGGGAGGTGACCTAGGGAGAGCGCCCACAGAGTTTTTGCCTTTCAGGCTTTTGGGAACAGTTAATACGTTGTCTGATCAGGCTCTTGATACATTACAAGGAAGAAAATATGGATACTGAGGGATAGCTGTTGTGATCTGCACAGGATGTGCCATGTTTGTCTTTCTCCTAGAGGATAGGAGCGACTTGATCCATACAAAGTGCAAGTGGGTCTCTGTACTGGAAGAAAGGTTAAAGGACTGGAGGTTCAAGTCTCAACCCTGTATTGCATCAGAGAAAATGAAGACTTCCTGGACAGAAGTAAGGATTTGGTACTCTGAGTAGAGCGTGCCAAAGAATCAGAGAGGGCAGTGCAAGGGGGACTGAAGAACAGGAAAGAAAATTGGCAGCGCATGACCTCCAGAAGAAGGAGGAAGATAATCAGTGTACCCCCAACACAGATAGAGGTAAGCACCTGCTTTCAGGCTCTCTGCACAGGTACTGCTGCTGAGAATGCCTTGGAAGAGTCATCTGAGGCAAGGGATCAGAAGGAGAATCTGTCAACTGGACAGCATGGGATGCATTGTCCTAGGAATGGGAGTTCCATGATCACCACTCCCAACTGGAGGAGAAGTGTGGTGGTGGTCAGGGACTCCCACCTAAAGGGGACAGAGTCATCAATCTGCCATCCAGACCGGGAATCCTGAGAAGTGTGCTGCTTGCTTGGAGCTAGAATTCAGAATGTGATGGAGAGTCTGCCAAGACTCATCAAGCCCTCAGACCATTACCACTTCCTGCTTATCCATAGGAGCACCAACAGTACTGCCAAAAATGACCTTAAGCAGATCACTACAGATTACATGGTTCTGAGAAAAAGGATAAAAGAGTTTGGGGCACAAGTGGTGTTCTCATCCATGCTCCCTGTTGAAGGAAAAGGCCTGGGCAGGGACTATTAAAGCATGGAAGTAAAAGCATGACTACACAGATGGCACTGGTGAGAGGGCTTTGGTGTCTTCAACAATGAGCTGATGTTCCAGGAAAGAGGATTACTGTGCTGGGATGGGCTCCATGTATCAAATACTGGGAAGGGCATATTTGGACATTGTCTGGCTAACCTGATAAGAAGAGCTATAACCAGATCTTATGGGGGATGGTGACAAAAATCCGGCCAATGTGCATCTAGGCTCAAGCAATAACGTCAAGGGGAAGGAGCTAAATTCTGAAAAAGGGACGAGAAACCACAACTGCATTAAAGAGGCAAGAAGAAAAGCAACAAGACAGCCTGTAAAATAGTTGTGATATGTGAAGACAATTATGACTTAATATGACTACTTACATGATTGAAGTACCAGCATTGAGGGATATAGTTTGTTCCAGAAGAATAAGTATGGGCGAAAAGGAGGAGGTGTCATGCTGTATGTCAAGAATGTATACACTTGCTCTCAGGTCCAAGAGGAAGTGAGTGGCAGACCTACAGATGGCAATAAATGTTACAGACAACAAGAAGGGGTCCTACAAAAGGAGGAGCCGGGGAAGTAAAGACCAGTCAGCCTGACCTCAATACCTGGGAAGCTATTAGAGCAATGTATAAAACATTCAATTTGGGAATATCTGGAGGATGAAGGGTTAATCACTAGCAGCCAGCATGGATTTCCAAATCACGCCAAACCAGTTGGATTTGCATCTTTGACAGAGTAACTGGTTTGGTGTATGGGAGGATGCAGTGAACCCAATATACTTGGACTTTAGCAAGGCTTTTGACATAGTCCCACATGACATTCTGATAAGTAAGCTGGAGAAATGCAGGCTCTGTGGAACTACCATTAAGTGGATACATAATTGGTTAAACAACCGCAAACAAATAACTATCATGATATCAGATTGGAGGGGATCTCAAGTGGGGTTGCACAGGGATCTGTTTTGGGTCTGGTGTTATTTAACATCTTTATTAATGACCTGGATGTAGGAATAGAGAGCATACTGATCACATTTGCAAATGACACAACGCTCGGGAGGGAGGAGGTTGCAAACACTTTGGAAGATAGAGCTAAAATTCAAAGGGATCTTGATAAATTGGAGAGCTGGGTTATAGACAATAAAATGAAATTCAATGAAGACAAATGTAAAGTGCTACACTTAGGGAAGAAAAACCAAATGCACAAATACAGAATGGGGGATAATTGGCTTGACAGCAGCACTGCTGAGAAGGATCTGGGAATTGTGGTGGATCACAACCTCTACAAGAGTCAACAGTGTGATGCTGTTGCAAAAAAAAAAAAAAAGCAAATGCAATTTTAGGTTGCATTAACAGAAGCATAGCCTGCAAGTCACGGGAGATGATAGTACCACTCTACTTGGTGCTGGTTAGGCTGAAGCTAGAGTACTGTCTTCAGTTTTGGTCACCAATATATAGAAAGGATGTGAAGAAACTGGAAAGGATCCAGAGGCAAGCAACAAAGATGATCAAAGGGACAGAATGCAAGCCATATGAGCAAAGGCTGAAGAACTGGAAAAGAGGAGTTTGGAAAAGAGGTGATTAAGGGGGAACATAAAAGCAGTATTCAAATACTTGAAAGGTTGTCACAAAAAAAGATGGAGAACAGTTGTTCGCTGTTGCCACAGAGGGCAGAACAAGAGGCAGTGGGTTCAAAGTACAGCACAGCAGATGTAGATTAAATCTCAGCAAAAAGTTCCTAACTGTAAGAACAATAGGACAATGGAACAGGGAGGTCATGGAAGCTCCTTCACTCGAGGTTTTCAAAGGAAAGCTGGATAACCATCTGTCTTTGGATGGTTGACACACAACAAATCCTGCATCTTGGCAGGAGGTTAGACTAGATGACCCTTGCAGTCCCTTCTATCCCTATGACTCTATGCTGCCCCACAGTTTGGACTATTTGGGTGTGAAGAGCAGTGCACACCAAAGTGCTGCACTGTAACTCCCCTGTGTGGATTTTGCGTCCATGAACTAAAAAGTTTCTGGTTCACATTAAAGTAATTCATTTACCTGATAAGTTGTTCAGGTTCACAGTGATGTGACTGGGAGCAGACTCTGTCCTGTTGTGTTTAGGGATAACTTTGCAGAGGTGTGGTGTTTTGCTTTGTTTTATTTACGAACCATTTCAGCCCAGCTGTGAGCTCTTCTACCTCAGAGAAAACCATATAATTTTAAACTAGAAAGTCTGTCACCTGCAGTGAGGATCTCAATAGAAGTTAGCCATTCCTACATCTATCTTAAAGAACGAGTAAGCAACTCTAGTTTCTAAACATACCTGATACTCCAAGAGGCTATTAAAGCTGGTGAGCCCATGGCAACCAAGATCATCATGAGGAAATACAGAAACTGAACTTTCGCATACACCTTTTTTTACACACTATCTAGTTTGAACTCTGTGTACAGCAAGACAATATGTGAGGTTAATAGACATTATTGCTCCCCATGCCAAGGGGGTTTCTTTCAGAAAATCAATATAATTGGATAGAGCAATATATTTCTAATATCCAGTAAATGAAATTTTAACCCAGAGTAGTAAATAATTACCCCCAACATGGTACATAATTCCCATGCACATGGGTGATATCGTTATAGCTACTACTGTGAGGAGAGCTGGAAATTTCAAATTATGGAACAAGTTATGTGTACCTGGGTTATAGGCTAAACTACCATAGGATAGTATGGGGTATTTCATAATTATTTAGTAGCGTTATAGGAAACAGTGCTAACTTACTGTAATTCTACTTCTTTGCTATGTGATCACTTACATTTATTAGAAGCAATAGTAGTTGAGGACACTCAGCACCGGGCAGGAGACACTTTCTACCTCGCAAGAACGGACCCTTGCCTGCACTATGAAAATGACCCAGTGCTGACAATAAATGTCAATAAAAGGTGCAAGTGATCCAGTTCTGAACACACTTAGCTGCAAATGTGGCCAAGGACAAACACTGTTCAGCATCATTTCAGAAACCATGGCTAAGCGCACGAGTCCTGATCACTACTTCCACTTCTGTTGCTCATATTCAGGTCCAAATTCTGAAAAGCACTAAGGCCCAGATCCTTAGAGGTATTTAGGGTTAACTTCAGTTTAAATAAATGGCAGTTAGGCACCTAAATACATTAGAGGATCTGGGCCAAACCCCTCCCGGGAGATGCTGAGAATTCTCAATTCCTCTTGATATCAGCCTTAGAGATCTATACCTCATAAGATCAGTCATGAATGTGCAGCTTTGGCCTTCCCTCCTTTTAGCAGTTGCCCAAAAGGCAAGATACAACACCAAGGAATGCTCTAAATAAGAGGGAGTGAGCTGTATGGGCCAGATCCTGCAAACACTTACTCATGCAATTAGTTCCATTCAAAGCAATGGGACTAATTGCATAAGTACTGGTCTGAACGATTGGGATCTAAGCATGTGTTACCACATGCTGGTGATAGCATCTAGAAGTTGACAAGTAATGACTGCTTTATACCAGTGCTGCTAGGATACTTCCCTGAAGAAGAAAAAGTGGAGGGAAATTAATTCAAAGTATGAAAATGCATAGATAAGATGCACAGGTAGATAAGAATTAAAGCAACCAACTGTTCCTGGGGTGAGTTATCCATGGGCAAATATACTCACTGTTCATCTAGTTGTTGATTTTTATTCTAGGGAGATGGTGGAAAACCAGTGGGCAGAAACAAAACATGCATTAGCATAATGAGAAACAGTACCTGAACAGTACCTTTGATGGCAGGAGGAGCGTACACACTCTGCTTCCTCTGCTTAGGGGAGGCATTCTGTGACTAGGAATAAGAGAAAGAGGTTTAATAAACATAGAAGGAAAGTGTCAAACCATTTCCTGGGAAGGTGAGGGGAGGGGAGGGGAAATCAAGTCTGCTAGTTATCAGTTATGCAGTCTTTCTACATTGCCTCTTTTCCCAACATGGCTTGTATTGCTCACATAGCCCTGTTTTCCCTCTGAGTTCCTATTAGTTCTGCTCCAGTCAGTGGTAGACAATCCAAATAATTATTATCTAATATGGTGGTGTGGTTATTCTGGATATGCTTCACATGTGTTACAGTAATATTTCATGTAGCACACCTTCTTGAATAAGGCATTTGCACTTCTGATAGAGAAATATCCATGTTACTTGGAAAACAAACTGGGAGATTTGCAATTCTGGGAACACTTTTCTTGCCTTGTGGAATACATATCGTTCCCCTTTCACCTGATTTCAGCCAACCCTTTAGTAGATATGGGTCTGAAGTAGCCCCCAGAATCTGAAGACATACCCACCTACACATACAAACTTTGTAGGCTGCGTTGATATCCAGAACTAATGCATCTTTATACCTTACAATTGATCAGAATTCACAAGGGTAACTGTATCTATGATAAGAGTTCTTCATAAAGAAGGCATGTTGTATGAATCAGATCCAGGTTCCTGGGATGCCACCTACTTATATGAAAAGCCACGATTAGATACAAAGAGTTGTGTCTAAGGCCCTGTCTACACTTACCGGTAGATTGGCTCTGCTGCAATGGATGCAGTGGGTGTTGATTTAGCAGATCTAGTGAAGACCCGCTAAATCGATGTCAGAGCACTCTTTGGTTGACTCCAATACTCCATCTCTATGAGAAGAGTAAGGGAAGTCGACAGGAGAGCACCTTCAGTCTACACAGCACAGTGTAGATACTGCGGTAAGTCAACCTAAGCCACATAGAATCATAGAATATCAGGATTGGAACGGACCTCAGGAGGTCATCTAGTCCAACCCCCTGCTCAAAGCAGGACCAATCCGCAACTAAATCATCCCAGTCAGGGCTTTGTCAAGCCTGACCTTAAAAACTTCTAAGGAATGAGATTCTACCACCTCCCTAGGTAACGCATTCCAGTGTTTCACCACCCTCCTAGTGAAAAAGTTTTTCCTAATACCCAACCTAAACCTCCCCCACTGCAACTTGAGACCATTACTCCTTGTTCTGTCATCTGCTACCACTGAGAACAGTCTAGAGCCATCCTCTTTGGAACCCCCTTTCAGGTAGTTGAAAGCAGCTATCAAATCACCCCTCTTTCTTCTCTTCCGTAGACTAAACAATCCCAGTTCCCTCAGCCTCTCCTCATAAGTCATGTGTTCCAGTCCCCTAATCATTTTTGTTGCCCTCCGCTGGACGTGTTCCAATTTTTCCACATCCTTCTTGTAGTGTGGGGCTCAAAACTGGACACAGTACTCCAGATGAGGCCTCACCAATGTCGAATAGAGGAGAACGATCATGTCCCTCAATCTGCTGGCAATGCCCCTACTTATACATCCCAAAATGCCATTGGCTTTCTTGGCAACAACGGCACACTGTTGACTCATATCCAGCTTTTCATCCACTGTAACCCCTAGGTCCTTTTCTGCTGCTGAGCCATTCGGTCCCTAGTCTGTAGCGGTGCATGGGATTCTTCCGTCCTAAGTGCAGGACTCTGCACTTGTCCTTGTTGAACCTCATCAGACCCATAACTTGGGTCAACTTACTGCGATAGTGTAGATAAGGCCTCAGGTGCAGTTCTTTTCGTTCCTGGGTAAAATAGGCCCAACTTTGTTTTAAAACAAGCCTGGATATAAAGACGTGTTTTTCAGCATTAAAATAAAATAGCTTATACAACTAACATTCCATGTAAAATTGATACCCATATGGGAAATATATCTTTACATGAATTGAAAGAATGAAAGATTTGTTTTCATCATCATTCAGTAAAAGACATAGTGCAACCAAATAAATAAATAAATAGTAGAAGTGATAATCCAAAAGAAAAAAGCCTCCAAAAAAGTAATGTTAACACGTTCAATTCTAGAATAACTAAAGAAATACTGACATTCATAAAAGCACACAAACAAACTGATGAGACCTCTTTTTTTCCAATAGATTGTCACTGGATGACTGGCCAACAAAATGGCAGATGAAATTCTGTGTTGAGAAAGGTAAAGTAATGCACATTGGAAAATATTATCCCAATTATACATAAAAAATGATGGGGTCCAATTTAGCTGTTACCACTCAGGAAAGATCTTGGAGTCATTGTGGATAGTTCTCTGAAAACATCCACTCAATGTGCAGTGGCAGTCAAAAAATCTAACAGAATGATAGGAACCTTTAGGAAAGGGATAGATAAAAACACAGTAAATATGATAATGCTACCATATAAATCCATGGTATGCCCACACCTTGAATCTGTGTGCAATTCCAGTTCTCTCATCTCAAAAAAGAGATATTAGAATTGGAAAAGATACAGAAAAGGGCAACAAAAATTATTAGGGGTATGGAATAACTTCCGTATGAGGAGAGATTTAAAAGATTGGGACTCTTCATCTTGGAAAAGAGACGACTAAGGGACAATATGATAGAAGTCTCTAAAATCATGAATGGTGTGAACAAAGTGAATAAGGAAGTATTATTTACCCCTTCACATAACACAAGAATCAGAGGTCATACAATGAAATTAAGAGGCAGCAGGTTTAAAACAAACAAAAGGAAGTATTTCTTCACACAGTGCGCAATCAAACTCATTGCCGGGGATGTTGTGAAGGATAAAAGTATAACTGGATTAAAAAAAGAATTAGATAGGTTAATGGAGGATAAATCCAGCAATGGCTATTAGTCAAGGTAATCAGGGATGCAATCCCATGCTTTGGATTTCCCTAAGCCCCTGACTGCTAGAAGCTGGAACTGGACAACAGGGGATGCATCACTCAATAGTTGTCCTATTTTGTTCATCCCCTCTGAATCATTTGGCATTGGCCACTGTTGGAAGACAGGATACTGATCTAGAAGGACCATTGGTCTGACCCAGTATGCCTGTACTTATGTTCTTATTGAAACTCTCCTAAAATAATAAAGAGTTTAAACATTCAAATTACATGCTTTTAGTTGGGCTTGATGTGAGGGAATTCTGCTGACACTAGGGCCTTGTCTACACTCAAAGATTGTACTATACCAGTATCTAACTAATATGTAACTATACCTGAATAGCTAAAGTTATTGTGTGGATTTAATTATACCGGTATAAAAGTGTCTATACCCATCTATTTTATTCTGTATAGAAAGGGAACTAAGCTATATTGGTATAAGCCCCCTTTAAATGGCATAACTACATCTATATTAGGAGTTGTACAAGGTATATCTATTTTCATAAAATGTCACATCACAGAACAAAACAATTATAGAGGTACAAAAACTGGGTAGACCAGGCCTAAAAGAACTATTCTTTGATCTTATCAATTTCCTATTGTTTTTTATCATAGTGATGTAATGGAAATTCATCCTTAAGTTCACTTGAAAGGCCTCTTTGTATTTCTCTGGGTGTCTGGATTGTATTTTCTAACAGATCTAGTTTTTCAACAGACATTAATTTAAGTTGGCTCTTAGGAAAAACACTTTCACATAAATATGGCCAATACTATTATCCCGTTGTATCATAATGGATGGAAAGATGCTGTTTATGAATAAAACATTTGTTGTATTCAAAGAGAGCTATTTACACCAGTGTGTGACATGCTGTTGATCCTCACCACAGCAAGGCTTCAGAAGTCTGTATTTGGATCTAAGTCTGAAACAATACTGCCCATTGCTATTTAAAGCAGTGCTTGCTTCCTTAAAACACCATAACAAGAGAAAGAGATTGAGGGGAGGGTTTGGGGGCAAAAGAGATGGAACTGGAGGAACAAACCTTAGACTTCATTGCAAACTTAATACTTGAGCTAATATTCACTGAAGTCAATGGAAAGACTAATTGCTTTCAATGAGTACTAGTTCTGGCCCTGGTACAGAATTAGAAAGGAAGCTTGCAATCCCTAATCTCCCCTGTACTAATGAATGGCGTTTGCTGTGCTCATTAACCTGAATAGAGACTAATGGAGAAACTGACCAGAACTAAAGGAGCAACAGGTATTTGTACAAAGCCATTTATCTAGAAGCTTCATCCATGAAAAGCTGTGTCAGTTACGGAAGCCTGATAATATAAACAATTGTATAAGCCAGCAAAGCAAGAATTAATATTTCAAAATAGTTGTTAAACAATAGCCCACTATTTAAAAAATGTAACTAACTTACTTCTCCTTGTGAGTTGTTCTTTCTCTTCTCATCTATTTCTATAAAAGGGAAAAGATTCAATTAGAGAAAAGGGAGTACCAAAAACTTGTTTTTTCCAGGGTAAATATTGTGGACCATATTCTGATCTCAACAGTATTTCCACTGTAAATAAGGAATAACTCCACTGATTTACAGCTTTCCCCTAGCCTTTGTCTGTCCTGTAGGCCAAAGAGATCAACACCCTTTAAACATAAAAGTGCTTTGGCCAGATTTCCAGAAGTGCTCAGCACTCAACAGCTCCTCTTCAGAACACTAGGCAACGAGCTCTTTTGAAAAATCTGTCCCTTAGATTGTAAGTCCTTGGAACAGGAACTTCACCTTCTTTTATGTTTGCAAAACACCTAGTAGTTTATGGGCACAACTAGAAATTAATTAATAATCATTAATACCAACTACGAGCTGTTAAATTATTAATATAACAGCAAAATGACATCACTGAAGAGTACCTTATAATTATACATAAAATCAGCAATTCTAATATAATTATTTCTAAATTCACAGTTTAAAAGTTTCATGATAGCACACTGGTTTAGGGTGAGAAGTGACCATGGAGTGTTTCTTGTTATTACATAGTGCTTTTGGTTAATTTACATGGTATATACTGCCTCCATCAACAACCTAAATTTAGTACTTCTAAAGAAAGTAAATACCTCCTATAATTTATCTGTTACACTGTGCAATGTTGTACATGGGATAGGAGGTCAATCGCTTCCTATCACTTAGTTGCAATCAGTTTATGCCCTGTTGCATAAGAATTAATTACCTTTCTATTGTCACAACTTGCATGTTGTTAATGGTCAAGGATGATTTTCCAATTACTACACTATCCACTGGGCAAGACCTTTGATGCCACATAATTACAGAGCTCTAAAAAAAAGTGACACTAAAATAGAGTGCGACAAATCTCTCACCATCAAAACACATGGGCCCCACTCTAAGATCTTCCATCCTAAAATGCCCCTGTGCACTTTCCACTAAAGTCTGGTGAATTTGTGCATGTGCACCTGAAGAGAAAATAGGGCCCAGTGTGTGTGTGTGTGAGAGAGAGAGATTATTGTATTAGAGCCAGGAAGAATTTATTTATTTAATTAATTTTTAATAGTGTTTTCTACGGTGCTCATCTCTTTGGTATCTGAGAACTGCACAAACATTAACTGATTAATTGCAATTCCTCCACATATGACTTTATAAGACATGCATTAAAAGTACTGATATTCCAGTGAGTAAAGGATGAATTAAAATAGGCCCTAAATAATTAGAGTTCATTACTAAAGAAGGGGGCAGCCTTGGGCCAGCAGAAAGGGCGCTAGGCTCAGATTCATGGGACCTGTTCCTGCCATTGGCCTGTTGTGTGACCTGGGATAAGTTATTTTTCAGTTACCTATCTATAAAATCATAGAATCATAGACTCATGGGGATAGTGATACTTAACACTTCTTCGTAAAGCACTTGGAGAGCTAAAGATTGAAAGCACTAAATAGGAAATCATTAATGCTTTCTGTGGGTGAGAGATTTCAATGGGAATTGAGTGTGTCAAGGGATTTTCATGATCAGGACTCTGTGTTTCATTTTGAGCTAGAGTTTGAATGAAGCCAAAGGTCAGTGAAAGCTGAGTTTGGTGACATTCCATCTTAAATCTGCTCAGGATTGTGAATTTCGCAACAAAACTTGAGCTGAGCCTTGGGCTGGGAACAAAACCTGCAACCAGTAACATTTTGTCTGGTTTCAAGTTTCAACACTTAAGGTTTGCACATTTCTAATCAACAGAGCCTGCACTTTTGCAATTCTTTTCAGCAGGGTCACATTACACCTATCAGCAATGGACATTGCTGCTAAACTAGCCTGTTCACCTTACTCTCAGCAGCACTTACACTGAAGTTAGTAATATGAACAGGATTTGACCCTGTTTGGGTTTAGAAAAAACCACATAGTTGCTATAATGCAATCAGCACCAAATATCCAGCATAGCACCTATGTGAAAATTTGAGAATGAACAAAATCCATTTGATTACTTTTTAATTAAGTCACTGAAATCATATGACTTGATTGTGTTTGCAATTTCAATAGAGTGGGGAGATCAGGACCCGGAAAGGAGGGGCTCCAGCTTAGAGTTAAAGGAGACAGGCTTGGAGAAGCAGCTGCAAACAGTGCATTCAATGAGCTGAGAGATGAAGGGAAGAAAGGAGAGGGAGCCATGGTTGGAGAGGCAATGGTGATGGAGATTAGTTGCCAGGAGGAGTTGAATCAATGGGACAGACAGACAGTTTGGTGGAAGAGAGTAGAGCATAAACTTTAGCCTTTGTGTAAGGGAGAAAGAAGGGGGCGGGGAAAAGAGAAGTTACAATTGATCTGGTCAATCTCAGTCAGTGAGATCTTCCTCAGAGAGGAAGGATGGGGCAGAAGGTATTATGGGGATGCTGAAGGTATAGGAAAGAGGCTGGAGTTGTGGGTGAAGGAATGAATGCAGATGGAGAAATAGAGCAGTTTGGCAAGGAATACCGAAGAACTGAAGAAGGGGAAAACAAATGTATAGGAAGAGGTAGCATATATAGTAGAGGTAGTAAAGGGACAAGCGGATAAGGCCTGGTCAACATGCAGCCTGATGTCCACATTGTCCCAAGAGTTCCCACAAATGAGTTCAGCTGCATGACACTAGGAGCAGAGGAAGTGGACGGTGGGAGTGAGCCATGGGTGAAAGGATGGAGTTTTTTTGGTGAGAAAGAAGGGCAAAGGAGTGGAGAGTGAAGTGGAGTGAATGAGCAACTGAGGGCTAATCTACGTGGGGAAATTAACCAGCAGAAGTATACCAATGTAATTATAGTGCTATAGTTATACCTACATGTAACCCCCCGGGTAGACAATTTGATTTAAGAATGAGTGCCTTTTTCTGAGTTAGCTTATGTCGCTTTGAAAGCAATATAAGGTGTATCAGGGAAAAAGGCACTTGTATTCCCAATTAAGAGTGTCTACATGATGAGTTTTACTGGTATAACTATAGTGGTATAATTATGCTGGTATAGTTCTATCAGGAAATTCCCTCATGTAGAAAAGACCCAAGTCATTAGAGAAATGGAAGAAAAGGCAGGCAGGAGGGGGAAGAGTATGATCTTTGTGAACTAACTAAACCAGACATCTCTTAGTCTCCTTAATAAAAAGCCAAGTGAATGACAGAATTTAATATACTGTGGATTGTTATGGTGACTTGATATTAATTGCTAAATCCCCATGAACTCAGTTAATAGTGGGTAGCTTGATATCATTACTAAATTGCTCTTTGGGTGCTCTCTCCCCTTGAGAGAGTTCAAGGAATGATTTAAAACAAATCATAAATATTGGAGCTCATTAATAATGAGAGGTGAAATCCTGGCCCCACTGAGGTTAATCACAAAACTAAAGTGGGGCCAGGATTACACCCAAAGTCTGTTATGATAATACAGAAAAAGACTGACATTTAATACCCTGACAATTACCTCATTAAGAATGAAAATCATTTTGGCCAGGCTTTTAGGAATTGAAATTCAGGCTATTTACACCTGATATAATTTCCCTTACAGATTCCATCGCACTCTGTTATTTGTAAGTATTTTTTATGTCAGTCCATGTTCTTCCATCATACAACTATACATCATTTTATTACATTTTAAATCTGAACATATGACATTTTTCCATACTGGATTTTAATATGGCATATTAGAAATGGATTTGGATAGCTGGAAAAAGACCTATATGTACCCAAGATATTTTAAGGCAGATGCACTCGAGATTAATGGTGGTTTGATTTGATTTTACCACACCTGTGCTGAGGAAAGGTGGAAAGAGTTTGTAGACTCTTAGCTACAATGTTTCAATAACATTTGAAGCTCAAGGGATTCTAAGTTCATGTGAATTAAGTAAAGCTCAGTCTCTGGCAGAGTAAACAAAGACTTCAAATATAGGGCTTCACTTTGCTCAGTGGTTTTAGAAAGAGCAGTGTTCCATTTTTATAAACCCAGGGCTCGAAGCCCTGGGATCGGCACTTTTATCAGTCTATCTACATAAATAACAGTATTACATAAGGCCTGATCCTGAAGTGAGATTCATGGAGGTAGATCTCTGCACTTTTGTGAAGCTCCATTGAAATCAAGGGGGGTACAGCCAGATGCAGGACTCTGGCCGCCCAGATCCCATTTCAGAATCAGAGTCTTGCTCATTGCAAACTCCCACTCACTTTCACAGGCATTTGAAGGAAAGCTGCAAAATTTGGCCCAGTGACATTTCTGCAAGGTGGAGGGAGATGCACTGGGGAATTCTTTTACTGAAAGTCCTTCAGAGCAGATCAATTTCTAATGCTTGTTAGCACAGACATATCCTCATACCCACATCATCATGCAGTTAGTTGAGTTACACCAGAGCCACCCTGTTATAAAAGAGGTCAGAAGCTGGCCATGCTCTGGGTGGCAGTCAGAACGACCACAGCTATATCGGATTATCAGTTTCCCAGCAAATCCCTATTAGTTTTGCAAAGAAACATGACCATACTGTGCAGAGAGCAACGTGGTCTCTTTAGAATGAGAATGGAGACAGGAAACATGAGCATTACACATCTGCCTCCCTTCCCTCTTCTCTCATCGGATAGACTTAATGCACTCACGGCGACTGTGCAGGGCATGAGGTGACATATTATAAATGACTTGGCCTCTGTGGGCCAAGTGGGCTCCCCAATGGAGTCATCCTGCAAAATCATATCTCGTCAGACTAAGTAATCTTCTTCCTCCTCCAGTCGTAAGAACAAATAAAAACTTCTGCTCCAGTTTTCAGTCATAAACATGGAAGGCAGAACAGGTTGCAGAGATAGGGTGACCAGATGTCCCGATTTTATAGGGACAGTCCCGATATTTGGGGCTTTGTCTTATGTAGGCACCTATTATCCCCCACCCCCTGTCCCAATTTTGCACATTTGCTGTCTGGTCACCCTATACAGAGAGCAGCTGCCAGCACAGAAAAAGCTCGGTGAGTGGCA